TGGATGGATGGATGGATGGATGGATGGATGGATGGATGGATGTCATCACCATCAGCCTCTCCTGCACACCCCCGCATTGAGTCCTCCATCAGTATTCAATTCCACTGAGTGCAAATGCCCCATCACACATGAATGTATTGTACCAGAGGTGCAGGGCTCTGGGAGGACTCTGGACTGTGACCTCTCTGTGCGCTTCACCCACGTGTCTTTTTTTTATATATAAAAAAAAAAAAAAAAAAAAAAAAAAAAAAAAAAAAAGGAAAAAAAAGGCACCCCCCCCCAAAAAAAAAATAGTAACCAAAACAACAACAACAACAAAAAAAAGGTAAGGAAAAACCCTCTGAGTTTACAGAGCAACTCATTTCTTGGCTGTGTACAGGGAGAAGGGGGGAGGAAGCTCACCCTCCTTGTCCCCGGTTCACCAGGGCGGTGGGTGCTGGGTCGGAAAGGGGAAGTGTTCTGTGCCACAGGGAGTCTGGGTTTTGGCGCTGCCGTGATTTCACTCCCACGCGTGGTCTTGCGCAACCCTCGGCCTCTGCTTCCTCCCTCATCCTCCTCCTCTGCAGCTCCTGCGGGACTGAGCACTACAGAAGTGTGGGTGGGCACTGGGGACCCCCGGGGAGTCTCTGGGGCTGTTGGGGTCCCAGAGACGCGGTACCAAAGAGGAGCTTGTTAAGACGGTTCTTAGCGAGGGCTGGAGGGGATTTGGGGCGGTTTTGGGGTTGCTTCGGTGGAGGGGCCGCGTATCGAGGTGGATAATTTATGGCAAGTTTCTGTCTGGTGGAATGGTATCATTTTATGGTTCTATGGTTCTTGAGGGAAAAAAACCCAAGCAACCCAAAGCAACTTTTTTTTTTTTTTTTTTAAATTTACAAGAAGAAAATAATGTTGTGAGCAGATCCTGCCGCGTCCCGTATCGGGGGCGGGGGAAGGTACGGAAGAGGTCCCGGGGCGCGGGGCTGGAGGCGCGGCGGGGCCCGCCCGGCCCCGGGCGCACGTGCCGCCCCGCCCCTCGCCGGTTTCACAACCGCGGCCGCCGCCGATGTTTTCCTCCGCGGGACTGGGCGCATGGCGCGGCCGCCGGGGCCGCTTCTCCTCCTCCTCCTCCTCCTCCTCCCTCTCCGCTTCCTCCTGCGCCTCGCCGCCGCCGGGCGGCCCTGCGGCCCCGCCGGTGAGTGCGGCCGGCACCGGGCCGGGCGGCAGAGGGGCTGGCCCGGAGCCGGTGCCTTGGGCCTCGTGGGTCCGGGCACGGCCAGGGGACACACGCGGTTCCCTGCCGGCCCCAGGGGAGCTCAGCCGGGCCCGGGGAGGCGGGCGGGTGGTGGTACGGGACAGCCCTGGGGGGTGAGGGCTGCGTCCCGGGTGCCGTGTCCCGGGTGCTTCGTCCCGTGTCCCGGGTGCTCTGTCCGGTGGCCCGGGTGCCATGTCCCGGTGCTGGCTGCCTGCTGGGTGCGTTCCCAGCAGCAGGAGCCGAAGGGAACAGCAGGTTGACGCCGCTGACCTTTGGAGGGAGCCGGGAGCGCTGCCCAGGCTTCGCCCGGGCTGCCGGCCAGCGCAGTCGCTTAACCCCTCTGGCACTGGACCCCCACCCAGGGACTCCCGCGACCACCAGTCCCAGTCTGCCACCTTCCCTGAGCTCTGCTCCCTGCCACCAGACCCCTCATACCCCACAATGTGAGGAGCCACTGCCACTCTCCAGCTCAGTGCCCTGGCCCCCAGCAGTCACTGGACATGTGGAGCAGATAATTGGGTGCCTTCCATCTCCAGGGACACCCACTGGGCCGGGGGTCTCATCCTCATTGCCCAGTCCCCTCTCGTTCCTCCAGGACTGTCGCGGGACACGGTGTTGGGCCGCCTGGGAGCCAATATCACACTGACCTGCCAGGACGAGGAGCCTGCAAATGCCACGGTGCTGTGGCAGGTGCAGGAGCAGGGGGCAGCAGGGGCCTGGGGACGACAGCTGGCAGAGGGTAACACGCTGCTCCTGCGGCAGCTGCGCTACGAGGACTCTGGGCGCTACAGCTGCACTGTGGGGAGCCACCTGCTGCGCTCCCTGCGGCTGCTGGTGGCAGGTGGGTCCACGCTGGGGTGGGAATGTCCCTTTCAGCATTGCCTGTCATGGCCCCTGTCCCCCAGCACCTCCCTGCCTTGCAGAGCCCCCTGAAACTCCCCAGGTCTCCTGCTACCGGCGGAGCCATGACAAGGATGTCCTGTGTGAGTGGCCACAGCAGAAGAAACCGTCCCCAGAGACACGGGCAGTGCTCTGGGTGAAGCGGAGGTGAGTGCTGGCGCTGCATCCACCACGGGTTGGGACCCCAGTAGGACAGAATATGTCCCTTTCTGTGGACCTGGTGCCATCTGGGACCCCAGGCTCAGGCTGCTTGCCTCCCTGCAGACCCTTCCCTAGCAGTGACTGGTAGCTGCAAGTCCCCAGCACAGGATGTGTTCCTTCCCCATGGCCCCATTGCCCAGTGCTGCCTGGGAGCCCACGCCACAGAATGTATCCTCCCCACAGACCCTTTTTCTAACACTGCTGGGGACTCCACAGCATAGGACATGTCCCCCACAGCTGCCCTGTGCCTAGAGCATGCTGCAGCCCCCCTGAGCTGTGACCTCACAGGTTTGTGGCTGAGAATGCCACAGAGCAGCGGTGCCGCTACTTCTCCAAGGCACGGAAGTTCGTTTGCCGGGTGAAGGTGCCACCTGGCACTGATGATACCAAACACCTCGTGGTGTCCACATGTGTCAGCAACAGTGCTGGAGGCTCAGCTGGCAAAGACAAGATCATCACCCCCAGCAGTGTCCGTGAGTGCTGCCCCTGTTGCTGGGAGCTGGGGTGGCCAGGGTGCAGAGCGAGGCCCTGAGCCCCCCGCTTTCCCAGCAGTGAAGCCAGACCCCCCTGTCAATGTGACGGTGGAGGCTCTGGAGAAGGCGCCGCAGCGGCTGCAGGTGAACTGGTCCTACCCCCCATCCTGGGACCCCCGTTTCTACTGGCTCCGCTTCCAGGTCCGCTACCGCCCCGAGCCTGCCCCAACCTTCGTGGAGGTGAGACCCTGCTCGCTGGCATGCTGCTTGTCCCTGGCCAGACTGTCCCCAGCCCTGTGTCCCCTCCAGGTGGATCAGGTGACAACAACTTGGCTTGACATCCGTGACGCGTGGCGCGGGATGAGGCACGTGGTGCAGGTGAGGGCCAAGGATGAGTTCGGCCATGGCACGTGGAGCGAGTGGAGCCAGGAGGCCATGGGTACCCCCTGGACAGGTAGGAGAGAAACATGAGGCCCTGGGACTGGGGGCTCAGCATGGGCTCTCCCAGTCTCATACTCCCCCGTCACTGTGCAGACCCCTGCGACCTCACCTCTGAAATGGAGCCTTTCAGCTCACAGGTAAGTGGTCTCAGTCCTGGGAAGGATCACACGTTCCTGAAGGGGTCTCCTGTCCCTGTGTGGGACACGGGGACACCAGGGCATGAGGGATGACCTGTCTCATTGTGCCCCCCACCTTTTGCAGGTCCCCATGGAAGATGGCACCTATGGGGTGACACTGCCCCCCGAGCTCTTTGGGGAGGATGATACTGATGGTGCTGGTGGTGAGGAAGGATTCCAGGACTGGGGCAGGGGGGCAGGGACACCCAGGTGCCTTATCCTCACAATGAACCCACCCATTCTCTCTGTGTCAGGGTCTGTCATGGAATCCAGCACCCATCCTGAGACATCCCCCTATGCCTTCCTGGTCACCGGGGGCAGTCTGCTCCTTGGCATCGCCCTGTTTGTTGGCATTGTGGTGAGGTGAGTGCCAGGGGGACTGGTCCAGGGGGCTCTGTCTGCCCCCTCCCTGACCTGGAGCCGCTCTTCTCCCCTGCAGGTACAGGCAGATGTGGTGGACAAGTAGGCAGGAGACGACCAAGCCAGAAGGCGAGGGGCAGCACATGCTGGTCCCTCTAGGCTTACCCCCACCCACACTCAGTGATACCCCTCTGCTCTCACACCCTGCCCCCTCAGCCCCTGGAGTGCTCCACATGACTCACGCAGATTATTCCTCCTCAGGGCAATAGCCAGGGACTGAATATGTTGGTAGGTGCTTGGGGGTTGGATGTGGGGTCCCAGGGCTTCGATGTGGCTCTGGGAGCAATTCCCCCCCACTATCTGGTGGCTCTGTGGCTGGAACAAGCCTCTGAGGAGAATCAGTGCCATCCCCCATGGAGAAGAAGCTGAGAAAAAACAAACTGGGTCCTGGGGGACACCATGGCCAAGCTGGGATGGCTGGGAGTGACAGCACTGGAAGCATGGCTGCACCAGAGCATGGAGCTGGCCCGGGACTGGGTTTGGGGGTCCCACAGGGAAGGACCTGGTCCCTACAGTGCCAGGGGTTCGGGGAGGGAGGGCCTGGCTGGATCAGCCCAATACCTCTGCTCCAACCCCCTCAGGGCTCCTTTTTAAAGCATATGTTGGGGAAACAGGACAATGTGGCTCAAATAAATGCTTTGGATTTATACTGGAGTGGCTGCTGGGAGTGGGGTAACAGAGGGGTCGCTGCAGGCTCCCCATTGCCTGGGAATGGCTCCAGTGGGGTTGCTGCCCCACTTCATTCACCCCCTCCCTTGCTGTAGCCTAACTATGCTCCCGCCACCATGTACCCCAGGCTGTGCTCCGTGGTTCACTGGTGCCTCCCAGGCTGTAGCCCGTGTGCTGTGCACACCTTCATGGCACAAACCCCCTGCCCTGCACCCCCAGCCATGCCTCCTCTGTCACGCACTGCTCGCCCCGTGCTGCGTTGTGCAACACCCTGGGGAGCTGCAGCTGCACCCGGGCAGGAAACCACAGGCTGAGGGGAGAGGGTGCTCAGGCACCCTGGGGACAGTGTTCCTCTTCCCTTCTGCTGGCCCCCCGCTATAAAAAGCCTGGCAGGATGCACATGTGCTGTTGGGGGAGCCCCAGTGCCCCTGGCCCCCTGTGCTGACTCCTGCCAGCACAAGGACCATCCCAGGACCCCAGGACCACCGCTCCCTCTCAGCCAACAAGTTTATTTTACTAGATCATTACACGGCCCAGCCTCACTGCATGCCCCCAACTCTGGCACGTGGGCAGCCCCGTGACAAGTCGGTTCTGGCACAGGGTGGTCAGGACTTGTCCCAGCAAAAGGGGGACAGCCCTGCTGGAGTCCAGGAGTGGGGTCCTTTCAGGACTGGAGACGTGTCAGGGGCTCTCTCACCGGACCCTTCCCGTGGTACTAGCCCATCGCTGTCTCATGCCACGGGGTGGGTTCGCAGAGCACTCGGGGGCGGCGTCAGCCGATGCTAATGCAGCTTGCAGTGGACGGGGTGCAGCAGGGCCATGTGCTCAGCCCCCTTGAAGGGCAGCTTCTCCGTGGAGTAGTAGTGCACAACTTCAGGGATGCTGGCGAAGACGCCGCTGGCCTGGCTGAGCGTGTACTTGTTGTCCTTGGTCTGTGCCACGATGATGTGGACGCAGCCCTGGCTGGTCCTGGGCGGCCGGCAGGCATCAGTGTTGCCGCCAGCCCCCCGGCGCCCGCCTGCCCCGCGGCCGTATCCACCCCTGTTTGTTCCCGTCCCGCTCTGATTGTTTCGGCTCCAGGGGCTGCACTTCCTCAGGAAGGAAACGCCGCTGGCGCTCCCGACAATGCGCCGGGGAGGGGGACACGCCGTACCCCCCCTCCGCCCCAGCTTCACTCCAGGATGCCTGGGTCCCCCCGTGGATCGGGGGGTGCCACCCCTCGGGATCTGGGTGCTTCCTCCCCATCGCGGCTTTTGCTGTGAGCAACCAGGGGCAGCTCCTGCCGAAGCACCGCCCCAGGGTGGGGATTCGCCCCATCTCCCCAGGCTGGGAACCCCCGGGACCCCCCAGTTCCGTGGCCACCCCGACACTCACTTGAGCGCGATGGAGTACTTGCCGCTGCCGGTCTCGCTGGTGCGCACCAGGTAGCCGGCCTCCCGGCAGGGCTGCAGCCGGCTCTCCGCCTCCGCCCGCGTGATGGCCCCGTGGTACCAGCTGCGGGAACACAGCCAGGGACGCTGAGCCCTGGCAAAACATCGCGCACGCCATCCCTCCTCGCCCCGTTCCCCACGCGTGGATCGGCCTCGCAACTCACGGCTGTTTCTCCAGTGCCAGGGCGGGGTCCACCCGCTCCCCCTCGCTGTGCTCGGTGCCCGCCGGCTTCAGCATCTTGGGGGTCCAGCTCTTCTGGCGAAGATGCTGCCGCACTGTCTCCTCCTTAGGACGCTCCGAGCCCTCAAACTGGACTGGGAGGGATGAGATGTGAGCCCCCAAAGCCCCACTTCCACTTTCAATCCCCATCCTTAGCTCGATCCCAGTCCCCAGCCCCAGCACCTCCCCCACTGCCAGTCTAACCCCTTCTCCAACCATGTGCCTCTCCACATCTGATCCAACACCCCACCATGAGAAGGGACATCTTCAGTTACATCAGGTTGTTCAGAGTCCCATCCAATCTGACCTGGCAGGTGTCATCTCTCTGGGCAACCCGTGCCAGTGCCTTGCCACCCTCAGACCAAGAAAATGCTTGTATCTAAAGTGCCCCTTATAGTTAAAAACCATTGCACCTTGTCCTCTTGTGACAAGCCCTGCTAGAAAGTCTGTCCCTGTCCCTACTGCCATCCCCATTCCCATCCCATGCCTGTCCCTTCCTCCCATCCTCATTCCCATGCTGTGTCTGTCCCCTACCTGACAGTGCTTTGACAATCTGCTCCTTCTTCCACTCCCAGGGCTGCTCATACTCCCCCGCCGGGCGCTCGTCGTTCTCGGGCAGGCGCCCATCACCAGCCCTCACCCTGCGCTCTGGGGTCCCCCCGGCCACCCCCTCCCCAGGCTCATAAGGGGTGTCATAGAGCTGTGGCCCCTTCCCTGCCACCTCCTTGCCCCCCAGCCGCTTGGCAAGATCCAGCTTGGCACCCCCATCCCCAGGCTCTCCAGGACCGTCCAGCAGCAGGATGGCTTTGACCAGGGGATCCTTGGAGCCACGACGACGGATTTCTGTGGGGAAGAGGGATGATGGGTCAGGGATGTGTCCCCTGAGACCCCCCCAGTCCCACCAGCAGCCCTCGGTGAGGGATGTGCTGGGGACTCCATGCCGGCAACGCCCCATTGGGAGCCAGCTCGGGAGGAGCTGGAGCAGGAAGGGGCCCATCCTCATGGCGCCTGCTCTGCTGTCCAGCCCTGAGGCTGCTGGCGCCACAGGCACGGGCCCACGCCAGTGGGGCCAGCTGGGCTCCGTGGCAGCAGGATGCTACACCCCAAGCTGCAGCTCAGCTGTGCAGGAGGCCGCCCCAGGGGCTCGCCCCTCCCAGCCCCCTGCTTCTCCCCACGGCGCCAGGCCTTGCCTAACAGCCTGGGCTGCCCCGCATGGAAAAAAAAAACAGCAGCAAATCTTTTATTTCCAGCTTCCGGCCCAGTCAGTTCCTGTTGTTGTGGCCAGCTGGACGGTCGCCACGCCAGCCGGGGTGTCGCTGGCTGGGGGCACGTCCATTGGCAACTCTTGGGGGGTGGTAGCCCGGGGTGACTGGGGGGCACTGAGGGCTTTGCAGTGGCCACATGTGCCCGTTGGTGGTGGCAGCAGGTCACGGCAACGGCTGAGGGGCCGGCCAGCCCGGGTCAGTGTCCGGCCTTGCTCCCGCTCCTTATCTGGCCCTGCGCAGCCGCAGGAAGCAGCAAGCGGCTTTCCTGTTCCCGGAGCCTCTTGCACCGGGTGGCTCCGAGGGCAGCCACAGACTCCCGGCTGGGGAGTGGTGCCAGCTGTGCTGCTGTGGCACGGCACATACCTGTGATCATCTGCTGGGCATCATAGGGCTCCATGTACCCGTCGTTCTCCCCCAGGCGCTCAGCATCCCGCTGCCCCTTGGTCCGTTTGGCATCGTAGGGGTCTGCGTAATCCTCCAGGATGATGACCTGAGCAGAGAACAGGCATTTTGGGCTTCAGGGGCCTGTGGGAGTCCCAGCAGGGGTGGCAGAGATGACACCAGCACAGAGCCAGGCAGGGAACAGGCACACTGGGGTCCTCAGGGAAGGAAAGTGGCTTATCTGGGGTAAATGGAGCCGTGCCACAACCCCAGAGGATGCACCCAGTGGCACCTTTGGGTGGGGGCAGTCCAGACCATTCCCATGCCTCTCAGTGATGGTGAGGAGCCTGGGGGGAGCTCTGGGACCCTTCTGGGTGACAGCAACCCTGCCGACTGGCTCCCAGCCCTCCCAAGGCTGTGCAGGGGTGAAAGACCAGCTTCCCAGAAAAGCTTTACATCAGCCTTTGTTTAACTAGCAGATGAGCTCTGGGGTCAGGCTGGCATGGGACACGCGGGCTATGATGAGGATGCCCGGCGACCCCCCCCACCCCCGAATGGGTGATGAAGGGCAGTTGAGATGAAGGCAGCTTTGAAGGAATTTAAAGGCAGTGGGAGCCGGGCAGGATAAAAGGATGAAGTCAGCCAGGCTAATGAGCTGGAGACCAAAGCAGTTAAAGCTGCCAGTGCTTCACTCTCCCCACATCTCCCCCTCTGCCCCAGGCTCCCAGTCCCTGCCTTACCGTCTCTGTCTTGGGGGGTTTCCCCTTGTCCTGCTCGGGGGCAGGCAGGCCGGCAGGCAGGGGTCCAGGGTGCCCCTTCCCGTTCTTCTCGGAAGCCTCCACCTTGATGAGGCGGTTGATGTAGGTTTTGGAGGGTCCCTCCGGTGTCCCTCCCTCCACTCGGGAATTCTTCCGCATCTTCCCGGTAGCAGCCTGGAGTAGACCCTGCAGGTTGTCCCGTGACAGCCGGCTGCCCCCTTCCTTGCCACCCCCAGCCGCCCGGTAGCCCCCCAGCTCAGCAGTTGAATTCTTGCGGCTCTTCCCGAGGCTCCCGCTTCCCGGCCGAGCCTTCTCTGAAACCGTCTTCAGGTTGGATGGGAACTCCTTGAACCACTTGGCCGCCATGGGGCTGGGGAGATGCAGGGTGCCGCAGCCCCCGCGGGGCTCCGCGCCCACCCGCGGCTGCCCCGCCGGCTCGGAGTCGACTCAGCCGGGGGGCGCTGGGCAGCCCGGCTGCCCCCAGCCCTGGAAACGGGATTCTCTGCGGACTGGGGCCAGCCCGGGAGCAGGGAGGAGGGCCGGGGGACCGGGGCCTTCGTGGGGGGCTCCAGGCGTCCTCGGCCCCGGCGGGGACAGCTGGTGGGTCCCCAGGGGTGCCGGCTCCTGCGGCCCGGGGAGGGAACCGCGTGCCCTCGGAGGTGCCCGGCCCCGGGGAAGGGTCTCGGAGGGGGCCGGCGTATCTGCTCCAGCAATGGGTTGAGTCGGGAGGGCTCGCCGCGTGTCGGAGTCCGGCCGGGGCAGTCCCGGGGATGTTCCAGGGGTCCGCCGCCCCTGGGGACGGGGCCCGGGGGGGTCGCTCCGAGCTCCGGGGGGCCCGGCCGGGATCGGGCAGCCGGGGGGTCCCGTCGCGGCTCCTCGGCAGGGCCCGTCTCCGGGGGCAGAGTGGCTTCGGAGAGGGGTCAGGCCGGCCCGGGGGGCCCCATGCGGCTGCGACGGGATGGGCCGGGCCGGGCCGGGCCGGGGCCGGAGGGGCCGGAGGGGCCGGAGGGGCCGGAGGGGCCGGAGGGGGCGGCAGGGCCCGCGCTCCCCGCCCAGATCCGGAGGGGCGGCCCCGGGCAGCGGCGCGGCACCGGCGGCAGACTCGGGGAGCTGCGGGAAGACATGGGGGCTTCGGTGGGGGTCCCGTCCCGGTGGGGCTGACAGACCTGACCCCGCCTGGCTGATGGCACGACCCACACATGGAACCCGGCACGGACCGTACGAGTGGACCCCGCGCAGAGCCTCCACGGACAGCGCAGACCGGCGTGCGTGGGCCCCTCCACAGACCCTGGGCACGGACCCTGAGCACTGAGCCGGGGCATGGGCTCTGCTGGCTATGGATGTAGACTCTGCACAGCCCCGCTAGCCCCCTGTGCACAGGGACCTTTACAGGGAGCTCGTACACAGCACCCCGTGCACAGCCCGACGGGGCACAAGCGCTGTGTGCAGCCAGGACACTCTCTGTGGTTCACACCACACCAGCCAAATTCTGTCTGGCCGTGCTGTCACCTTACCAGAAAAGCGTGGCAGAGCCCAGCGGTTTGGCCTCCTGTCGGGCTGCAGAGCCGGGGGGCCCTTACAACAGCGACCTCTCCCACTTTGCAACTGCAAGGGAAGAGGAGAGGGTTTTGTGGCAAAATTGGTCCCATAGCCCCCAGGATGGGAGTCTATGGCAGAATACGGGCTCCTTCTGTACAGGGGGGAGGTGCTGGGCGCTGGCAGCGCCATAGGAAGTGATGGCAATTTCCTCACTAGCCCTGCTGGGCAGGATGTGCCTTGCAGCGGTGCAATGCCACTGGCAGACTGGTGCCCGAACTGCCAGTGGGATCTCGCCTGGCTTCAGCTTTGCCTTTTTGAGGCCTAGGAAATCTCTACTTCTCCACCAGTAAATTCGTGTGCTGGTTCCTTATCTTTCCTTCAGAAGGCAAACTTGGATCCCCCTCAATCCTCAATTTTTATGGGGCCTCAATAGGACAGACCTGCAGGCAGCACTGTCCCGGTCGCTTTGTGCTGCAGTGGTGTTCACACCAATGTGCCACTTTTCTCCTTTGGGAAATCTTCCCTCGTCCTTGTTCTCTGCCAGCTCCCGCAGGGGAAGGCTTTGGGAGTGCCTTTGGCAGTGCTGGCTCTGCACACCTGCTTCCCTGAGAAGATAAGCTTCCCTGAGCCAGCCTGGTGGCAATGAAGGCCAAGCCCGGCTCAGAGTGGGATGGCCCCTCACTGGGCAGGTGTGAACAGACAGGACTGGCAGATGGCCTGCTAGACACCTGCTCCTGCTTCACTTTCAGCCCCGATGCTTGTCAGGTCAGCATCTCAGCCTCTAAAGCTACCATGACCTGGGAGTGCGTGCCATGAGCTCTCCCAACTGACCTGGCGTACCCAATCCCAAGCCAACCCCATCCCACCACTGGGCTCAGCAGAGCAGCTCCTACTTCACCAAAGAGAAAGCCCCAAAAGTGTTTTAAACCTTCATTAAACTGAGTTAATCTGCTACCTAGCAGGTGCCTGAGCTAAAGGTGGGAGCTGAGTGCAACTACTTCTGTCCCCTCAGCCCCAGGTACCAGAACAGGCTGGAAAGGAGCCAGAAAGAACCCCAAGAGGTGCTGGTCTGGGCTGGAGGACACAGGGCAGAGCTGCTCAGCTTCACAAATCCTCTGGTCCTTCAGCAAAGCACTTAAAAACGGTCCCCAGGCTGAGGCCAGAGACACTCCTGCAGCTGTGAGTAATCCCTCTCCTAACAGCATCTTTTTATTCCAAGGCTCTGAGCAGGACAGGAAAGCAGCTGCTGAAGTAGATAATGGAGTTCTGAGGCTCTTTGATTTTCTAATGACTTTTATTCAAACACAGTGAATTAATACGCATGGTTCCATCTTTGACACTAGTGCGTCACTTCTGTCCTCCGGACGAGGACGTGGCCCGAGTTAGAGGAGCTCCAACAGCCAAATCTCCTTCCAGCAGACTCAAAACAGGGCTGTGGGGATTCAAGGAAACAGGCCACAACTGCAACAACCCCAATCCTGGGAGGGCTGGAGTACAAAGGCGAGCAGGAACAATAGCTTAAGGAAAGTAAAAGAAAACCCCATAGAACGGGGTGTTCACTGCCGGACAGGTCCTGGCCAGGGATGGGAGCAGGGGCAGGACAGCAGTGCCCATGCTCCACTCCCTGCAGAAGCTTGCAGCCACAGCACAGCAGGGATGGGGACAAGGGGCTCAGCCTCCATGCGTGGTTAGTGGGGAGAAACAGGACAAAGCTCAGGCCTTAGCTCATCTTACTGCTTGGCAAGAGGACAGGGAGAAGTGTGGGGTGGGAGCTGGCAGCCCTGGGATACACCCACAAACCCTTCCTCCACTGCAGGAGAGAGGACAGCCTCACAGATCTCCCCCTCCGTCCTTCAAGTTGAAAGTCTGCAGTTTATAAAGAAAAACTGGGTTGGCCCAGGGAAGATGGGACAGAAACCCTGCTCCCTTCATGCCAGAAAAGAAAAGGGCTTTTCTCCTCCCAAGGCAGTTGCACCAAGTCTTCCTGCAGGGCCTGTGCCCACCACAGCTCCACTGACTGCCCCACCCTGGGACCAGGGCTGCAGCAGAGTTTGCAGGGCACAACCCACCCAGCAGGAGCTTGGAAAAAAAATAGTTAGGCCAACGCTCTCAAATTAACAAACTGTAATTTTTCTCCAAAGATACATTTTCCATACACATCCATCATACACCGTAACAAAAAAAAAGCAGTGTACATGAAATAAGAAAATAAATTAAATCCATAGCATAGGTAAGGAGGATGCTCTAGACTGGAGTAGAGTCAGAAGTTTCCAGCAATACAAGAGGCTCAAGAGTTTGTTTTAACAAGAATGCCTGCTAGCATGGGCCCAGCAAGTGTTCTGGGTCAGTCCAACTCCTTAAACAGTTATTTAGAGTTTTGAACAGCCAGTATTGTCCTGCAACAGGCAGAGCTATTACATCCTGGGAGAAAGCCAAGAGGCATCACTAAGATCCAAGTAGAGCATCCAGAAGATATTCAGATTGGTCCTGCAGCATCCACACTAGCCATCCTCCTTGGGTGGTGTATACCAGCCTGAAATGAGGAGAGATCAGTGAGGAAGGAAACTGCACCTGGAGAAGTTGTCAAAAGTAGCCAAGTCCCACTTCTAAAGGGCCACATATTCCTGCTTACTGGGAGGCTTTCCCTCTGGCTTAATTCCCAACACCACACAGGCAAACATGGAATCATTTAGGTTGGAAAAGACCTCTCAGATCATCAAGTCCAAGCAATCAGTGAGCTGCTGCCTCTAGTTGCAGCCACCACAGCCCAGCACTGGGCAGCAGAGAGGGCAGCAGCACTCTGTAGCCACACTGTGCTACAGCAGCTGTCACCTCCACACTTGAGGGAGGATAAAACTTGAGTGGCTTGTCTGGGGAGCCCAAGCAAACAAAGGAAAATGCAGACCCTCTCCCTCAGCCCTTACCATTCTTCTCATGGATCTGAACCAGGGACTTGTAGGACTGCTGTGCTCTTGTCAGGCTGTACTGGTTCTGCAAGAGAAGGCAAGGAGACTGTCAGTCCAGCAGGAACCTCGGGGAAGCCATCCCACACACCTTCCCTGTGTGGCCAGACCTGGCTGTGCCCCGATCTGCCACCCCCACATTCTCCCTATACTGTCCAGGCCCTACCTTGTTGGCTCCAAACTGTACTCGTGCCTTCCCTTTCACCAGCGTTGCACTGATCTGCATGATCACCGACTCGATGGAGTAGGCACTACTCCAGCCCTTAGGGATGAAACACACAGTGAGGCCAGACCCACCCACCTGTGCTCCCAGTGCAACCAAAGGGCCTACCCTAGCTCTGGCAGGCAGTGGTGTGGCAGGAGCTGCCAGGAATACCCAGTGTGGTAGGCAGAACAGCTCCCCCAATTCCCACAGGGAACAGCACCCACCTGTTTTGTAAGCAGTTCCATGCAGATGGCACCGCCACCCAAAACATACCTGGGAAGGAATCAGACAAGTTACCCCACAGATAGATGTGACTGCACCCACCCGCTGCTCCAGAGGTGAAACATCTCTTGATTAGATTTCTGATGGAAAAAATATGCTAAAAACTCCACCATCGCTGTCTGCTTCACAATGCAAATCCATGTCAAAGGAGTCACAGGATTGCGTAACTCTGGATAAACCCGGTGAAAACTGCTGCAGGAAGCAGCACTGCAGAGCAGAGAGAGACAGATTGTTACTCACCCCCCTGAGAGCACCGGGGATACAACCCTTACAAATGGTGGATCAAATGGAAAGTTATCCTGGAACGAGAGAAGGGAAGCAGAGCCGTTGAGTACTCTGATGCCTCGCCGAGTCAGGCGTCTCTCGGGGAGGGGGAGCCTTACTTTAAAAGAGAAGTTGAGAAGGATGTAATCTGTTCCTTCTTTCTCTTTGAGGATTTGGAGATCGTTGTGCAAAGCGCTGTCCTCGTCAACCCTGTGAGAGGAAAACCGCAGAGGGTCAGGCAAGGCCGTGCACCTCAGGCCAGCCGTGCTCGCTGCCAGCACACCCCGAGCTGCCGTACCTGCACAGCCGGGCAGCCACGCGGGCAGCACGGGCTGCCAGCATTCTGCTTCTGCTTTGCAGAGAAGACCAGCACACCCCTATTCCATGCTGCCAGCTTAAAAATAAAGGCTGCCTGGCCCAAGGCAAGGGCAGCACTGGTGTCTGGAGGGTGTGAAAGCTCAGGGTTTGCCTGCTGCACCTCTTT